GAAGACAGAATAGAAGAACCTCTGCTGCATCTGGTTGTTTCCAGGTGTTGCACTGATCAGAAGTGATCTGCTGTGAAGTAACAGAGATCTTCTCCATGCTCTGACAGTGACCCAGCAGTTCCTACCTTACCTGCAGAGCTTTTCTCTGCTGCCTTCAGCAGAAATGCAGAGAGGACTGGAGAGGGCCCTTTCTCTCAGCCTTAGGTAGGACTTTCCAGGACAACCCCCAGTGCCCTTCTGCTCAAACTGTACCATTTCCCCACGGGATATCTTGGTTGTTCGTGCAATGACAGCCTTGCACCATGTCTGATTTCCATGTTATCTGGGCTGTTTGCTCTGCCACAAGATGAGGTAAAGCAGGGACATCGCTTTTTCCTGCTGCATTTTCACCTTGGTTGGGGCCAGCCTGAGCTTGATTTCCCAAGATCCTGAAGTGAATTCATTCTGCCTGATTGCAGCCCCTCCTTTCCCAGAAATCATCCTATGGGATAAGCCCAAAGTGTTTCCTATCTCCCCCTTAACCCTTTTCCTTCCACCCAAGTGCTCCATGGCCCAAGGCCTGCTCCAGAGGGCATGAATTCAGTGTGATTCCCTCATCCTGCCCATTCAGAGGCTGTCAAAAGCCAAAAATGACAGCACTGGAGTGCCAGAAGCAAGCAAGTCACCTGCAATTTCACACCTGCCATCGCTGCTTTCATGGCAGCTGGCGAGGCGAGAAGCTGATGAAGGTCCCACTTGGCCCAGGCTGAAAGTCAAAGCAAATGTTGGGCTTTTCAGGGAATGTCCTTCCCTGAAGTAGCAAGGCAGGTAGAAAACCTGCTGGCAGCTGCCCAGGGGCATCTGCTGCCTTGCTTAGGAGGCATTTGTGTTTTTGCACACTGTCCTGTTCTTGGCAGCAGCTTTCCTGAGCTGGAAAAAGCACTGGCCATCATCAGCTGTGGAAACACTTTCTGGGCTGCAGATTTCTTTCTGTGGAGCCACAGCTGAACTATACTGGCCAAGTCTGTGTCCCTTCCAAGTGAGGTTTAATAGTGCCAGGTGAGTAGCAAAAGCCATCCAGCAGGTTTTGACACCACTGGTCAAATCTAACCTGCAGTTTTGATTGTTTCTTCCTACAGGTGTGCAGGAGAGAGGCCAGAAACCAGGCTAGGGAGCTCCACAGGACAACTGTGCAAATGCTGTGACAGTTCTGGGCTCTGGTAGCTGTTTTCCTGCTTTTCACCAAGCTCCTGTTGCCCAGTACCAACAGGAACCTGTCCTGCCTGTGGCTGGGCAAGCCCAGGCTGTATTTCTCATTTGCTGTGAGTTATGGCTCCCAGGGAGCAGCAGACTGTGGGCTTCTCTGTCCCTGACCAAGAGCTCATCACAACCATTTGCTCCTCTGGGTCTGTGTGGGCTGAACACCCCTCACCAAACACCCACCACCAGCCACACAAGAGCAGGGAGAGGAGCCAGCCCCCTGAAGGAACCAGAGGAATTCAAACAGCAGCAAGACTCAGGACAGAAACCAGACTCACAGAGGCCCAAGAACGTTGCATTGCACAGACACTGTGTTTGCAGCCTGGCCTCCTGGCCCTAATATCCTCTGACAGCTCCCAGAGCAGGTTCTGGCCACTGGATCACGACACCAAGTCCTGTGGGAGCTGCTGCTCCAGAGTCCTTCTGCCAGGCCTCAGCGCAGCACGCGAGGAGCTGCAGGGATGGGCAGCCTCCAGAGCTTGGAGCAGTGGCTTATCCTCACAAGAGAAATACTGGCTAAATGCTGGCTCCTGCCCAGTCCTTAAAAAGTGGAGTTTTGGAAGGCAGCTTCAGCCAGGCCCAGGTAAATGACTGCTTGTTTGGTGGCTAATGGCTTATGACTTTCTTTGTGTCACCAAAGAAACACTCACCCCAAATCAAACACTGCCTGTCTGAGAAGTTCAGTGGAATTTTGTTTCTAACTCCCCCAGCCTGTCAGCCTGCAGAAATGAAAAATCTGAAGCCACCCCGGGTAGCTGGGTTCATCAGGAATGTGTTAAGTTACGCCACAAAGTCCATCCCCGTGCCAAGCAGCAAACACACAAAGCCGTGAAAGGACATGAGTGCCTCCCAGTTAATGTCACCTTCACAGCTTCCATAGGTCACAGCACAAGCAGACACCAAACAAGATGCCAGGCAGAACACGGAGCCCGCTCTGAACAATGCCATGGGCCCAGGGAGAGATGAGGAATGTAAGGGATGCAGAACAACAGGAAATAAGGAAAGTCCCTCCAGCAAAGGTCCTGTGGCCCGTCAGTGGCCGCTCAGCACTGCGCAGGGAGCAGTGACACAATGGAGTGACTAAAGGCCTGCCTGGCAGCCAGCATTCCCAAGGCCATTGTTGCCAGCACGGGAAGGACACAGATACAAACAAGAGCTGTGTTCCCAGGCACTGGCAGAGACACATCCACTGCAAATGAAATGACTTCCTGAAGCTCCTCGAGGCCTGGATGCACCATGCCATCCTAACTGGGAAATCACATCCTGAGGCAGGAAAAGCTGTGCCAGGAGGGGATAAAGGATCAAGCAACCTGGATGAGCCCAGGCTGGATTTTTGCCTGTGTGCTGGACCAACATTAATTAAGAGGATGGATGTAACTTGAGAGTCACTGCAAGGAAGGAGATCCCCGTCAGAGAGTCTTTGTCTGGCCTAGGGGATATATGGGAGAAGTAGAGGATGAATCCTACCCAAATGTGATCTCACTCTAAGAGCATTGCCTCTGGAGGTCACAAGGCTTGGAGAAAGAAGAGGGATAATTTTATAGTCTCTTTTCTGGCAATAAAACCTCTGTAAGATCCCAGGGAGAACTGCTGGAAGCACCAGCTCTGGTCAGGAAAGGAGAAGCTGAACTGCCCTGGGCAGCAGGGTGGGATCCATGCTGGATAAGCAGCTCTCTCCAGAGCATGGCCAAGCACGCAGAGGACAACAACAAGGGCAGGCCAGGGGATCCGTGTGCTGCTTTAGCTCTCAAAACAGCTCCTGCAGGGATTCAGAGCAGGGCGTTCCGGGCTAATCTCTGCGTCCCTCAGGGAACCTGAGGATTACTGCTCTACATCTGCTCCCAGGGCTGGGCCCCACCTTGTCGAGGCAGGGGAAGTGCTGACAGCCACTCTCAGCTCTTTAATCGGGTTGGGACAAACAGCAACGGGCTCTGTCCCCTGTGGGGCAGCACCTTGTGGCATTCACATTCTCTGGAAAAATCCCTTCGCCCAGGATTTTTCTCCTGGGAAGCTGAGAAGCCTCAGAGAAAAAAGAAAACAATTCTTATCTCAATTGCTTCTCCTGTGTTGTGCTCATGTGGAATGTGTTTGGGGATTGTTCACCCACAGGTGATTGTTTCATTGGATTCTGCTGTGAGTTGTTTTCACTCTTTGGCCAATCAGGGCCAAGCTGTGTCAGGACTCTGGGGAGAGTCATAAGTTTTCATTATTAGCTTTTAGCATTCAGTAAGTATCCTTTCTGTATTCTTTAATATAATATAGTATTATAAAATAATAAATTTGCCTTCTGAAAACATGGAGTCAGATTCATCATTCCTCCCTGCCACAGGGACCCCTGCAAATACAATAGCACCTCTTGATTCCCTCCCTCACAGGCCTGATGGCTTCTCTTGACCCTTGGCTGGGGCAGAAATGCCTCTCAGAGTTTGTCTGGCAGCAGCTTCAGAGCTACTTCAGTGCAGCTTCCCTCGTGTGGTTTTGGTTTGTTAATTTGAGATATTGTTAATTTTGAGATTTCTTGGTTAACGTACTAAAGAGCGTGGTGAGTTTGGTGTTGGCTAATTATGAATGTGTTTATTTTTTGTTGTGAGATAGGATTAGGAGAAAGGTAAAGTAGGGTTCAAACTTTAAAAGGATATAAAGAAAAATGTATTAATAGTAATTGAAAGAAAGAGTAATAAGAATTGGAATAAAACCCAACTAGAACAAGGCTCAGTGAGCTCCCTAGAGAAGGGCCCAGCTCCTGTCTGCCCTGACCCAGCTTAAACAGGCCTTATTACTTGTTCCTAAGTCAGGGGAAAAAAAAAAAAAGAATAAATTCTCAAGTTTCTTTAATCTTTTACATGTGTTTTTCACAGAAATGTGTCATTTTCTAGCAGCTAAAAGTTTTATATCACTTCTTTAAATGTCTCCCATACAAAACCATAACACCTGGTTATCTCAGGGGCTGGCAAAGGGTGACCCCAGCAGTGTCTGGCCACCACTGGCACCTCCCCAGCAGCAGCCATGGCACAGTGTTTGGCTGCAGCCCAGCCCAGGGTGGGTGGAGGTCCCAAGGCAGCAGTCAGAGCTGTCCTTTCAGCTGTAGACCCGTGACAACTTTTTCAAATTCCCAGCAGAGAGGGTTGCAAAATCCTGGGGTTTGTGCTGTTAGTGATGTACCAAGATGACCTGCTTGCTTCTCCTCCTGCTCTTCTCTCCCTCCTGCACCTGCCTGGCCCGGGCACCTGGGACATGGTCCTGGTCCTTCCTCCTCCCTTTCAGACTGGGAATGCTGCTTTGGGATCGGCTCTGGCTGTGCCAGTCCCAGGCAGTCAGCCCCATCTGCTGGCTGCTATGGAAATATGGGAAGCTTCACAGGAAATTTAGGTTGGATCTTAAGAAAAAGGGTTTTTTTTATTGAAAGAGTGATAAAGTACTGGAATGGTCTGCCCTGGGAGGAGGTGGAGTCACCATCCCTGGATGTGTTTAAAAAAGGATTGGTTGTGGCACTCAGCGCCGTGGTTTAATTGAGCTGGTGTTAGGGCATGGGGCAGACTTGATGATCTTAAAGGTCTCTTCCACCCCAGTGCTTCTGTGATTCTCCAGTAATGGACAGCCTTGCTTTTAGCCAGTATTTTCCCTACCCTCACATTCTTCTGTTGAAGTCACAGGGCTGACCCAAATAATTTAAATTATTCACACTTACAAATAGGGAGTGTTAAATTGAAAACATTTTATTTAAAAAATGTTACAAATAGGACAATACATATCAGGTTAAATGAGAGATTTTTAATTTATAATCATAACTTAAACATAAATTAAAAGAGAGTCTCATTTGAAGACTTTTAACAGCTAAAAAAACCCCATACTTTCAATACATAAACATACAAATCTCAATCTTCCATTTCATTTGTAAACATTATGCAGGCATGCAATCCTTACAAACACTTCCAGTTTAGTTTCAAATAAATTCTGATCAACTGATCAACAGCCAAAGACCTACTCAAGAACAAGTATTTTACAACACATGTACAGTTAAGAGCACAGAAATATCCACAGTAAAAGCTGCTCAAATAAATACATATGTATATACACATATTACGGTACAGAATCCCACAGGGATGAGAATTTCAGATCTTCCTGCTGTGTTCAGAAACCAAAGTACACTGTGTAAGCACTATGGTTCCTAGTGCTGTTATATTTTTTTTTAAAGGCATCTAAATTTTCTGGGATATGCAGCAGAAATCCAAATAATTGCCCATATCACTGCAGGCATATCTATTGACTAGGACATCTGAAAATAAACTGACTTCCACAAACCAGATCAACAGTTTCAAAGCTGCTCAGTGAATATTTTTCCATCCTGATTCTTCTTTTTCTGCAAGCATAACCCCTGTGACTCCAGAGGAAACACTTCCAGCAGGGTAGTAAGTGATGTGAAATAATGCATGGCTTCACCTCACCTCGGTACCTTTGAGTGGAGCAGAGGAGGAACCAGCCTCCTTTTTAGGCAGCAGTGCACGGTTTACTCACCACCTGGACAGGAGGTGGCAAGCTCCCAGTTCAGGGTAACTACATGGCTGAATGTAGGCAGGATTTGGCCACAAGGCCAGAGTTCTGTGTTTGTCTTCAATGGAAATACCAGACAGCTTGAGTTCAAGATTTCTGAATCATACACAAGGTCAATCATCTTGTCAGCAAAAGGTAAAAACATCTGGACAGCTGCTGATTTGCAGGCAGTTTCATTCTCCAGAAATCTGAGATGTAAGTGAAGGTGGCTGCAATTCCTGCGGAGAGAACAAAATTCCTCCATAAATCAGAAAACTGGCAGAGGTTTGTGTTTGCTCTCATCTCAGAGGAATTTTGTATGCAGCAGGTAGCAGAACTGCACAAAAGTGTTCCTAATGCCATTTGCAGCTGGACAGAATGCTAAGCACAACCATCCTTCAGGAGCTGAACAACCATTTCTACAGCAATAAATCCATCAGTCTTGTTAGGAACTGCCATGCAATGCCAAGATGCATATTAGGTGTCCCAAAGCACATATTGCTGTGTCAGCAACTGTACAGCAATTAGCAGCTCTGATTGATTGCTTGTGTGATTAAAAGGAAGAGAATTTGTGAGTGAAGCCATCACATGTGCTTACCTGAAGCACCTGAGTTAGACATTCTCGCCAGCACTTTGGAAACTACCTTCACTGGCTGTTTCCTGCCAGTTCCTATGAAACAAAATTGAAAAGTACTTTAGTGACAAAGGTTTTTATCAAATGGATTTTAGCAAAGTGATGGCAGTGGTTTTTTCATGTTGCTTTTTTGAGACACAACTTACCTGAAAGGAATAAACTTCTTTGCTGCAAGAAGAATAAAAAAAGGTATTAGTATTTCAAGACAAAAGCCCTAATTCTTGTTGTCTAAATATTTGGGGTCGACTATTTTTTTCCTTTTTCAGACGTCCATTCAAAAGCCAAACATGGCATACATGGAGGGTTCTTGAAAACAATTTTGGAATTTATCTAAGTATGGGAATTACCACTTTTTCAACAACCAAGGTGTAGTGCTCTGGAGGTTTTGGGTTTTTTTGGGGTTTTGTTTGTTTGTTTGTTTGTTTTTTTCCACTGAAACCTTTTCAGGAAGATAAATAAAGCAGTGGAGCCAGAGCAAGTGCTCACCTTTTCTCCGGAAGCGCCGTGCAAGCCAAAGGAGGAATGATGCTGTGGACAGCAGAGAGGCAGAAGTGGCTGCTATGCCCACAGAGATGTAGCTGGCTTGGTCAGAGGCTGAAAGGATGAAAAGATTTCAGTGAGATCAAGGGGCACAGGTGGTCTTTGAAGCCCTCTCTCCTTCTCCCCTTTCCTTATGCTCTTCAAGAGGAACCAGAAGTGCAGCTTGTAACACTGAAGTTTTCTCTTGTTGAAACAGGATAGTTCCAGTACACAAGGTAAAAAGCTGAATACTAAAAATTACCCCATCCATTGCCAAACTGGCGAGGCAAGAAGCTCCCTACACCAGGGTCTGTTTCTAACTTCCAGCCTTGCACAGCAATTTGTGCTTCTCTTATTTTTCATGTTGCAGTTCATATTTTAACTCCCTGTGTGCTATCTTTCTCTTTGAGCAATCCTGCTGAGATCAATGAAATTATTCAAGGATTTAAATTCTGTTCAAGCAAATTAAAATGGAATTGAGCTTTTAGGACCTCAAGCAAAAGCATTCCAGGCAGGCCAGGGGTGCTCCAGCTGAGGGCAGTGACAGAGTTCTTACTGCCTTGAATGAGAAGGCAAGGCTGAGCTTCTGTCCTTTGAAACTGAAGCCTCTGAGAGAAAAGCTCTGTGAGGTCTTTTGGCTGAGGAGTCCATCCAAGAAACAATCACACCAAATCAAAAAACCTATAAAATTTTCCACTAAGGACCAGATTTATGAGTGCAGATTTCCCCACAAGGTTCTGTTTGTCTAGAAATGCTTTTTTTCTCTATTCACATGGAAAAAAGCCCATAGTGAGGAATATTTTGTTTAAAAATCAAACAGAAAGAACTAAAATCTGGTTGCAGGGGTTTTTTATATATAAGAAATCAACATTTTCCACCAAGATCTTTTAGGATTTTCCCCTCTTCTATTTTCAAGCATGAGTGATTTTGTTGGGATTTTGAATTCATGGACTTCTCTACATGTTCTAGCTCACTGGTTGCTATTACCACCACTACTACCCTTCCACACCTCATCTGACTAAAAACACAGTGCCACCTCCCTGTGGCTGCTCACAGGCAAAATACCTTCACATGTGGGCAGGCTGGCACTCCAGTTTCCTGAGTGGCTGCACTGGAGAACACGAGAGCCATTGAGACTCCATCCTTCAAGGCAGCTGAAGTGGCAGGAGGTGTTGTAGGTGAACATCCCAGCCCCGTGGGAGCAATCCATGGAGCCTTTCTCAGGAGAGCTCAGTGGTTCACACTGTATGACTGAAACACAAGAAGATATGGTTATTCCTGCTGTAGAGCAATGAAGTATGCAAGAAAACAAATCAAGAGGTTCCAAGCAAACAAACAGTGGAATTCCTATATAATTTCCCATGGTTTGCTTGCACAACTAAGGGCTTTCCTGTCTTTGGTTCAATTTTTTGCACTAGTAGATGTACAATTTATTTTCAAATTTATTTGCAAATTTACAAAGATGTACAATAAATTTTCAAATTTATTTTTATTTGACTTTGGGATGGGAGCTGCTCAGAGCCATGAGTAGGCATTCCAAGGCACGGCTGAAAATATGGGAGCAGAGTTTAGTTTGGAGCCAGGGCCCTACAGGAATATGGATTTCTGTGTGTTCCCCAGTGACCAGAAAACTGCAATTTCCAACAGCCTTACCTTTGCACTTGGGCACCGGCTCTGACCATTGTCCCTGTGCCGTGCACTCCGTGCTGGCTGAGCCCTCCAGCACAAACCCCTCGGCGCACTGGAAATCACAGCGGGAGCCGGAGGTGAGCTCTGCAGGAGCGTGGTCACAGCTCACCGAGCCTTCTGCTGGCCGCGGGACAGCCTGGCACCGCACAGCTGCAGCACAGGGAGCACACAGCCATCAGCACAGGAGCTTCAGGACAGCACCACGGCAGGGCTGGCAGCCCTGGCGGCTCGCTGGGCAAAGGAAATTACCTGCACACGTTGGCTGCTGCCTGTCCCAGGCCCCTGAAGAGCCGCACTGCAGTGTAGCTGGTCCTGTCAGGGTAAATCCCTCCTCACAGGTGAACTCGCAGGTGGTTCCCCAGGTGAGCTGCACCGAGGGATGGGAGCAGTTCACAGCTCCGTGGGCAGGCATTTCCAAGGCAGGACAGGTCACAGCTGAAAGGCACAAGAGACAGCACAGAGCTTAGCTTGCAACAAACCATTAAAAGTTTTTTTTCTTTTCCGAAACTTAGCAACACATCCACTAAACAGGAGCAGCTTTAGAAAGGGGTCTACTTTGCCACCATCTCAGAAACCAGACAGACAGAGAAATATTTTTAAATGGGATACTGGCTCTTCAGGCAAGACTTAATTCATCTGCAGGTCATGACAGCAACTATTTACAATCCAAAATTTCCCTACTTTGACTGCTGCTTGGAGAAATATTTTGAAATGAGAAACTGGCTCTTCAGGCAAGACTGTTAATTCATCTGCAGCTCATGACAGCAACTATTTACAATCCAAAATTTCCCTATTTTGACTGCTGCTGAGTGACCTTTGTTGCTTTTATTTGCTTAGAAAAATATCTCGTTCTAAGCCAAACACCTCAGAAAATGATTCCTACAGTCAGGAGTAACTGGTCTGTTGAGAGCAGTCTCACAGCTAGGTCATCTCAATTCCCTGTTTCCACCTAAGAGTTGGAAAAGTCTTTCCCTGCAAGGAACAAGGCCAGAACATTCATCCTACTCATTTCACCTCCTCAGGATCAGAGACCTCTGTGCTGAAATAAAATAGCAGCTACACCACGTAATGTGTTACAGAGGAATTGACCAAACTTCCATTTGTACCTACTGCCTGAGGTGTGCAGTGCAATGCAACAAGCTCACCTTTGCATGCTGCAAGGGGGGCAGACCAGATCCCAGAAGAGGTACAGTGGACAGACTCCAGTGCAGTCAGCTCATAGCCCTCCTCACACTGCACTTTGCAGGATGAGTTGTAGCTGAAGTCCCCCAATGGATGGTGGCACTCGAGGCTTCCATGATCAGGTTTCTTTAGTGAATCACAACCCTTAACTTCAAAGAAGCACAAGAAGGTACACAGTCAGTCTCTTTGGCTGAGCAGGTAAATCAAGAAGCCAAACTGAACACTAACTAGCATGAATTAGTCAAAAAGCAGGATGAAATAATCTTACCAAACTCGCATTCAGGCCCATAGAAGCCAGGGTTGCAATGGCAGGTGTGGTTGTTGATAGTCTCTATGCATTCTCCATGGCCACTGCAGAGAGATGGGTTGCAAGAAGCTGGAAAAAAAAAAAAGAATAAAGAAAATTATGAAAGAATCAACAACAGCCACTAAGAAAACCTGGGTAGCACTTTGTTTATCTTTCTGACACTAAACAAGTTCTTTGTATAGCAAAAGAAAATCAGAGGGTTTGGTATTTAGGATTATCCTCTCATTTCACAGCAGAATTTCTGAAATGCACACCTTTTACAGACTAGCTTACAGCAAAAGGATTCTGCTGGCTGGAAACTCCAAGACCACTTGTTCTGAGGTAAATATTAGATGAAGTTAAACAACTCATCCCAGCCACCACCTCAGCTCCCCAGGGTCACACTGGAGTGACCTTTATCACTCTGTACCTGTGTAGCACAAGGCGACCTTCTTCTTCTCACACTGCTCATCGTTCCATTTGCCATCATCCTTCCCTCTTTTGATGTAGATCTCAACGCAGTCCTCGTTGTTCCCTTTGCCATTTGGCTCCCCTGAAGCCCAGTTTCTTGCTTCTTCTGTCAGTTCTTTGTTAGTTCCAGTCCAGGTCCACACACCATTAACTTTTCTGATTCCAATCCAGTAGTAACCCGGATTGAAGGGTAAGAAGGCATTGAGATGCTTGATTTCCTCCTTGTTCTGGATGGCAACCAGGTTAGTATACTTCTTTCTGCACCACAGCTCTGCTTCCCTGTAGGTCATGTTTGTGTCTGAATAATGGTATGTCCACCCATTCACCCCCTGCAGCACTGTAAGTCCTAGAATGAGAAGATATCCAAAAGTTGGTGTCTGACTTCTCCCCTCCTCTCTCTCTAGAAGAGGACATTTAAGCTCTATAAATACTGCAAATTTGTCAGTATCTGACAAATAAAAACTAGTGGTAATTATTTTATAAACAATCACCTGGCAAGCTTCAAACCAGGCAAGTCAGCTTCAAGTACAGGACTTCAGCCTGTACTTGACTTCTGATCAAACAAAGCTTTGAGACTATAGGAGCCAATTATGGCTTTGACAGGCAAGCAGGGAAAATGTGCCATTGCATCCAGAGGTTCTTCTGTGTGAACACAGCCTCAAGTTAATTAGGGCAGGTTCAAAAATTCTCTTTGATGCTGAGCTCAAAGAGAACAGTCACACTAATATTGCCATTCCACTAATTTTCTACACAGACAAATACACACTTACCATAGGTAAGAAGAGAAAGGAACTGCAAGCAAATCATGTTTCTGAGAGTTTTCTCTATCTTTCAAGCAGATGGCTATGAGAAATCAAAGAAACACATTTGTAAAAAACAAATGAGTCAAAAATCCATATAAACTACTGTTATGCAATTTTTGCTATGTACTTTTAAACAAGTAGAATTTCCACAAATTATTAATTTAAAAACTGTTTTTAATATCAAGATACTTTAAAATGTAAGCAGTTTTTAAGGAAGATGAACACAGATTTCCAGTTCTCCTTTAGGTGGGCAGTGAAACAGAATAGCAGAGACCATTTCTACTCACATTTTGTAGCTGCAGTGTCCTGATGACAGAATTCCTCTGCGCTGCTTTCCAGAGACTGTGGCTAAGTGGATGAATTCAGCCTTGAAAATCAAGTTCAGCTCCAAGTGCCTGGACTCTGAAATGCTCTGCCTTTTATTCCCTCAACCAGCCTGTCCGCCACGAGACTGGAAATTCCGCATGGAAAACAATTTCTTGGAAAATCCCAGGATCTGGGCCTCCCACACGTCAGGACGGATGTTTCCCCTTGCCAGATTAACCCTCCCAGAGAGACGCGCTGTGCTGACAGAGTGCCAAGTGCCACATGACCAACTTTTACTGACAGAAACACACAATTCCAGGATATCAAGGAGGAGGAGGACGACAATTAGATGGAATTAAATGCATGAATAAGCAGATTCCAATATTTCACCTGGCATGTTTTGCAGTAAGGAGGTGTCAGTTCTGATATGTCGGTAGGAAAGGCACCAACACTCAAAGCTGGTTAACCAAGCTGGATAAAAATGGGAACTGCAGTACAGGACAAGCCCTTCCTTATGGATCTCAGCTGTGCAGAGCTCTCATTTGTGGTCAGGTTTGTCATCCCCTGTATTGCTGTAACTCCTCACAATCCAGGTTCACTTGTAGCAGTCAAGCTTGAAACGTGGACCTTGCTTCGAAGAGTCCTTGGGCCATAATCTTCAATGTCCTGATCTCAACAGAGTTACAGCACCTGAACAGGTGCATAATATAATATAATATAATATAATATAATATAATATAATATAATATAATATGGACAAGGCAATACCCTAGGAATTCATGCACATTTATTGTGTATACCCCAATTAATTATACTGCTGCATAAAGCTTCACTGTTATGGATGGGATTTAATGAGGCTGAACGTGCAAAGGACTCAACAAGTGCTGGCAGCAATAGGAGGGCACAGGGTAGCACCTAATTCATATCTGTAAAGCATAGTATGAGTTTATACAGGGCATGTTGGAGCTCTGATTTTGGAGGCTCAGCCTGTTCTTGCAGAATAAAAATCAATGGCTTCTGGATTCCAAGCTAACATCAATGGTATCACCCAATTTTTTCACAAAAAAAGAAAGATCTGCCAAGTAGCCAAAGATCTCTGCCCATCAGAGAAATTATCTCAGAAAAGAACATGGAATAAAGAGTATGTTCTAAAACAGCCTCAGTTACTAACAAATCTGGAGAGTTGACTGGAAATTGCAACAAAGTCTTAGGAAGCAAGTCATTTACTGAAGAGACTGAGGATTAAAAACAACACACTGAATATTTGTAGGCAGAGGAACACTTCCTAGCAGGCGTTCACACCTGCTAGAAAGTGTTCCTCTGCCTACAAATATTCACAGGAACACTTCCTAACAGAGCTAGAAACACAAATGGACAATCAAGAAACTCTGGGAAGCTGAGGTTAGCTTTTGGCTGCTCTGAGCAAGCCTTGCTTAGAAGCAGCAGACAGCCTGAGGCTTCCAGGCAGCATCAGAGCAGGGCTGCTGTTTATTTAGCCTCAAACTGGCAATGAAAACTCGTCCTGTTTGCCAGCCCTTCTCTGCTAGGAAGCTTTACTACCTGAAGGACACAGACAGCAGCTCGCATTTTAATGCACCTGTACAGCACGTTATGAAGCAGGGCCTAATTTTAACACTATTCTACTACAAACTAATGTTAATCAGTCTTGATAGGGCAGGGGGGTTTTTTTGTTTTTTTGTTTTTTTGATTTGGGGGTTTTTTTGTTTGTTTGTTTTTTTTTTTAATTGTCTTAAACATTGATCAGCCTGTTACAACTGTATGCACAGAAAATTTATAGACAACTCCAGGAGAATTTTTATGCTCCCAGACACCCAAAGGCAGAAAATGCTACGCCTTTTCCTGGAGATTCCCTTTCTCAAGTCATTTAATGAGCTTCCTACTGGTAAGCACTCATCCTTGTCATGGCAGAAACTCTGAAGAGAGCTCTGAGGAAACTTCATCAGAATTCATTTGCCAGTGGAATCTCCGGAGGAAGGAAGGGCTTATTTCATAGTTTAAAGCAGTCTTCCTTTGCAGGGGCTGTCTGAGACCTCTTGTCTGCAGCAGATAAAGAAAGCCCCACAAAAAATAACAAAACACCAAGCTTACAAGCAATATGCTTGTAAAAACTCCAGCCTAAAAAAAGACTTGTTTCTTTTTGTTGGCTGTATTCCCTTGTGCATCATTGCCACGGGGCTCTTTTTGGTTTTTCCCAGGGAATTCTGCTATCCACTGATTATATTCTTATTTCCCTATAAGGTACTGGAAGATGAAGGCAAAATTTTCAGGAAAAAAGAAAGCCTGAAAATCATTCTCAAAACCCCACAATAGAAGTTAAAACCTCATTATTAAAAGTCAAAGGCACTTAAAAATTTCAGGGGGACTGAGATTCCTATGAGCTAAAGCTTATACTGGATGCTAAACTACATTTATATTTCAGGGAAAATACCTGTGATACAGTTTCTTAGGTTGAATTGGAGATAATCAAGCTAAAAATGCCATTTCTGATTTCTGTGTTACTTATTTATTCTCTTCTCAAAGTTATTTCACATTCATGCTTTTTTAATCTTTTGCCAATTGATTTGGGAATGTAAGATCCTTGTTTCTTGTGCTGTATAGAGCTGGATGAAGCTGTGGCTCTCTTCTTATTCTACAGATGTAGTTCCTTAAAATTAATACAATTCCTCTCTGCCAGAAAAACAGGAGACTCTAACAAGTTTTTAGAAATGTTGAACACTTCCTGTTCCTATACACTCCAGAATTTCATTTGCACAAGTGAAGGCCCAGCTTTTTATAGGGAACACTCCAGATCACCTCTTTTCCCTTACAAACAGAGGTGCACTGACAATTATGTAGCCAGAGCTAATTTTCCAGTTGAAAGGTTCACTTAGGAGGCCACCATGAAACATAAGGGGTTAGAAAGGGCTATATAAACATATTAGGAATAAAACAAATAAAATCCAGCCAGGTCTGCCATTTAAAGGACAGCAATTGACAGAGGACATGCCAAATGTTATTTCTTTGTATATCAAGGAAAGTTAATATTCACTGCAGTAGTGTGGGAAAAGAGAACAGGTTGGATTATGGAGTGAAGACTGTTTAGGTTGGTTACAACCAATCAAGCTACAGTTAAAAGATCCAAACCCTCAGTAATTAACTTTGAGAATGAGCAAGAAGGTGTAAAAAGGTGGACAAGAAGCAAATATTGCCTCTCTGTATCTGAGAAAAGAAGATCAAGGTAATTAGAAGCCGGGCCTTCCATGTGAGCACCTAGAAAAGACACTAGAACATTGAAAAATGTTAAAGAAAACCATTGAAAAATCAGCTAGGCTGTCAAGAACGGCTGACATTGATGTGATTGATCTGTTCCTGGCAGATCAACCTGGCTTGTGCCTCAAGGCTCTGTCAGTAATAAAGAAACAATAGTGCACTGTGGTTTGTTATAATTAAGATTTTTTTATATCGTCCCATGAGACATTCTTATGAGGAAACAAGTGAAACAATGCTTAGCTGAAATCACCATAAAATGAGCACACAAGGGACGGAATCACTACTCAAAGGGCAGATTTTCAAAGAGCCCTGTCTGTCCAAGAGAACTCTTCTATTCGCACCCCACTGTAAAAAGGGGTGCTGGAGGAAAGAAATCTTTACAAACTTCTAAAACCCAAAAGGTGTTTTAGAGAACTTAGGAGGCACGTGATCAACAAAGATTCACATCCACTTGGTGCATAACAAGTAGTGGTGGATTGATTGGTAGGACAAACTTTCAATTAAAAGTTTTCCAGAGGCCATGAATTGCTAAAACATGGCTTTTGTAGCATGGGTTTTGTAGAAAATGCCTTTCTGTTGGGAAATTCTGAATTTTTGTTTGAGAATAATTTTTTTAGTATCTCCATCAGTATCTCAAGAAAATTTAATGCAGTGAAAATTCATTTTGCTTTATCTGAAACTCTGTTGGACTTGAAGAAATCACAAATCCAAGACAAATACAGAATGTGGTGGGATCCCAGGTAAACAGAGTATATAGATGTACATTAGTATATATAGAAAAAGACAGAGATTAATTTCCCACGTCCTTTTTAAAGACTGGTTCTTTATCTACAATATTGCATCTGCATTTACATATCAACAGACAAAAAGAGAGCTTTAAGTGCCTCTGAGTAATCCAGTTCCATCTCTCCCAGAAGATAATTTCGTCATTCCTAAATTAAAACACTTGATAAGTATTTATTTCAAAGTGCTTTGCATAATGGACTTTTGTCCCATGGTAAAGAGTCATAGAACCACTTGAAATTTTGAAATAGTGGAACAACCTCCAGCTTCACCCACAGCAATACTAGGAGAGGAAAAGTAAGAGATTTAGCCAGCCTGGAGGGGGGAAAAGGAGTTCTAGTGCCAGTAGTGAAGGTGTTTCCTGTTTGGAGAGGAATATGCAACACTTAATTCTTTAGAAATTAAGAGACAAAGGGTTTAAAGCACAAGTTTTCCCTGAGGTCCAGATAGGAAGAAAAGATAATTTCTGAAAACATACTCATCCCTCAGCCTCTGTGTCTGATTAAGTGTGAATAAGGTAGGCAATGCAACAGCTAAAAAGGCAGGACAAAGACATTGGAATTTCTCAAGGCTGCCTAAGGCAGTCTCCACTCTGTCTGGAGTGGAACCCCAGGAGTCAGAAAATCTTATCTCCACTTGTCTTTTCGGGAATTCTGATGTGACTCATAGTGCTCAATTTCCTCCAAACAGGCAAAAATACACATTGAAGAATTCAACCTGAGGCTGGGGGTCACTCGCACTGGCCAGGTGTGATTCAGAGCATTGAAACATGAAACAGAACCAATGAGGAGAGGAAACAACTCACACCTCAAGCCAAGATAAAAGTAGGACTGGCCTTAACATCACACACTGGCTGCCTGCAAGTGGGACTGATCCCATGCAGAACTTGATTCTTTTTAATTCCACTGTTGGAATATTGTATTTGCGGGGTTCCCAGATGAAGGGAAGAATGATGAATCTGACTCCATGTTCTTAGAAGGCTAATTTATTATTTTATGATACTATATTATATTAAAGAATACTATACTAAACTATACTAAAGAATACAGAAAGGACACAGAC